AGGTAGCCACAAATCACCTCTCACTCAAAAATCAGACATGCAGGATCACCACAAGCTCTAAACAGGACCTGCCTTTTATACTACCATATGGTATGCATTGTATTTCTTCTGAGTTTCTTGCAAGGTGTTCTGAAACTCCATTTCAGATAAGTGACTCTTGATGCTACGTCGTCCAATCTGGTTCTTGCTTTTATACAAGGTACCTATTCTCTTTATGTGGTTAATAAGTCAGGAGAATATCATCGAAATGTTTGGAAGCAGAGAACCATTTTGTTCTATAAGCCAACCCCGCCGGGATCAAGACACCATCATCCAGGGAACCAAATCTGAGGTAGCCACAAATCACCTCCCACTCAAAAATCCGACATGCAGGATCACCACAAACTCTAAACAGGACCTGCCTTTTATACCATCATATGATATAATCTGCATTGTATTCCTTCTGATTTTCTTGCCAGGTATTCCGAAACTCCATTTCAGATAAGTGACTCTTGATGCTACGTCCTCCAACCTGGTTCTCGCTTTTTTACAAGGTATTCTCATTATATGGTTAACAATTTTGGAAAATATCATCGGAAAGTAGGAAAGCAGAGAAACATTTCGTTCTATAAGCCAACCCCGTCGAGATCAAGACACCATCATCCAGGGAACCAAATCTGAGGTAGCCACGAATTACCTCCCACTCAAAAATCCGACATGCAGGATCCCCACAAACTCTAAACAGGACCGGCCTTCTATACTACCATATGGTCTGCATTACTCCTTCTCAGTTTCTTGCAAGGTGTTCTTAAACTCCATTTCAGATAGGTGACTCTAGATGCTATGTACTCCAACCTGGTTCTCGCTTTTATACAAGGTATTCTCATTATGAGGTTAACAATTCAGGAAAATATTATCGAAATGTATGAAAGCAGAGAACCATTTTTTTATAGGCCAATCCCGCCGCGATCAAGACACCATCATCCAGGGAACCAAATCTGAGGTAGCCACGAATCACCTCCCACTCAAAAATCCGACATGCAAGATCACCAAAAACTCTAAACAGAACCTGCCTTTTATACCACCATATGATATAATCTGCATTGTATTCCTTCTGATTTTCTTGCCAGGTATTCCGAAACTCCATTTCAGATAAGTGAGTCTTGATGCTATGTCCTCCAACCTGGTTCTCGCTTTTTTTACAAGGTATTCTCATTATGTGATTAACAATTTAGGAAAATATCATCGAAATGTATGAAAGCAGAAAACCATTTCGTTCTATAAGCCAACCCCGTCGAGATCAAGACACCATCATCCAGGGAACCAAATCTGAGGCAGCCACCAATCACCTCCCACTCGAAAATCCGACAAGCAGGATCCCCACAAACTCTAAACAGGACCGGCCTTCCATACTACCATATGGTCTGCATTGTATCCCTTCTGAGTTTCTTGCAAGGTGTTCTGGAGCTCCATTTCAGATGCTACGAACTCACTCCAACCTGGTTCTCGCTTTTATACAAGGCATTCTCATTATGTGGTTAATAATTCAGGAGAATATCATCCAAATGTAGGAAACTAGCCAACCCCGCCGAGATCAAGACACCATCATCCAGGGAACCAAATCTGAGGTAGCCACAAATCACCTCCCACTCAAAAATCGGACATGCAGGATCCCCACAAACTCTAAACAGGACCTGCCTTTTATACTACCATATGGTCTGCATTGTATTCCTTCTCACTTTGTTACTTACAAGGAGTTCTGAACCTGAATTTTAGATGGGTGACTCTAGCTGCTACGTCCTCCAACCTGATTCTTGCTTTTATACAAGGTATTCTCATTATGTGGCTGATAATTCAAGAAAATATCATCGAAATGTATAAAAACAGAGAACCATTTTGTTCTATAAGCCAACCCTGCCGAGATCAAGACACCATCATCCAGAGAACCAAATATGAGGTAGCCAAAAATCACCTCCCACTCAAAAATCCGACATGCAGGATCCCCACAAACTCTAAACAGGACCTGCCTTCTATACTACCATATGGTCTGCATTGTATTTCTTCTCAGTTTGTTGCAATGTGTTCCGAAACTGAATGTCAGATGGGTGTCTCTAGATGGTACGTTCTTCATCCTGGTTATCGCTTTTATACAAGGTATTCTCATTATGTGGTTAATAATTCAGGAGGAAAATATCATCGAAATGTATGAAAACAGACAACTATTTTGTTCTATAAGCCAGCCCCGCCGGTATCAAGACACTATCATCCAAGAAATTAAATCTGAGGTAGCCACGAATCACCACCCACTCAAAAATCTGACATGCAGGATCACCACATACTCTAAACAGGACCTGCCTTTTATATAACCATATGGTCTGCATTGTATTCCTTCTGAGTTTCTTGCAAAGTGTTCTGAAACTCTATTTCAGATGGGTGATTCTAGATGCTACGTTCTCAAATCTGGTTCTCGCATTTATACAAGGTATTCTTAATATGTGGTTAACAATTCAGGAAAATATCATCAAAATGTATGAAAGCAGAGAAACATTTTGTTCTATAAGCCAACCTCGCCGGGATCAAGACACCATCATCCAAGGAACCGAATCTGAGGTAGTCATAAATCACCTCCCACTCAAAAATCCGAAATGCAGGATTACCACAAACTCTAAACAGGACCTGCCTTTTATACTACCATATGAAATGGTCTGCATTGTATTCCTTCTGAATTTCTTGAAAAGTGTTCTGAAACTCTATTTCAGACGAGTGACTCTAGATGTTACGTCCTCCAACCTGGTTCTCGCTTTTATACGATGTTTTCTTATTATGTGGTTAATAATTCAGGAAAATATCATCGAAATGTATGAAAGCAGAGAACCATTTTGTTCTATAAGCCAACCCCGCCGAGATCAAGACACCATCATCCAGGGAACCAAATCTGAGGTAGCCACAAATCACCTCCCACTCAAAAAGCCGACATTCAGGATCCCCACAACCTCTAAACAGGACCTGCCTTTTATACTATCATATATGGTCTGCATTCTATTTCTTCTGAGTTTCTTGCAAGGTGTTCTGAAACTCCATTTCAGATAAGTGACTCTTGATGCTACGTCGTCCAACCTGGTTCTCGCTTTTATATAAGGTATTTTCATTATGTGGTTGATAATTTAGGAAAATATCATCGAAATGTATGAAAGCAGAAAATCATTTCGTTCTATAAGCCAACCCCGTCGAGATCAAGACACCATCATCCAGGGAACCAAATCTGAGGTAGCCACCAATCATCTCTCCCACTCAAAAATCCGACATGCAGGATCCCCACAAATTCTAAACAGTACCTGCCTTCTATACTACGATATGAAAATATGGTCTGCATTATATTTCTTCTGAGTTTGTTGCAAAGTGTTCTGGAACTATATTTCAGACGAGTGACTCTAGATGTTACGTCCTCCAATCTGGTTCTCGCTTTTATACAAGGTATTCTCATTATGTGGTTAATAAATTCAGGAGAATATCATCAAAATGTATGAGAGCAGAGAACCATTTTGTTCTATAAGCCAACCCCGCCGGGATCAAGACGCCATCATCTAGGGAATTAAATCTGAAGTAGCCACGAATCACCTCCCACTCAAAAATCTGACATTCAGGATCACAACAAACTTTAAACAGGACCTGCCTTTTATACAACCATATGGTCTGCATTGTATTTGTTCTGAGTTTCTTGCAAGGTATTCTGAAACTCCATTTCAGATAAGTGACTCTTGATGCTACACCCTCCAACCTGGTTCTCGCTTTTATACAAGGTATTCTCATTATGTGGTTAAAAATTCAGGAAAATATCCTGGTATGAAAGCAGAGAGTCATTTTGTTCTACTAGTGCATTTAAACAAACAAAATGTCTCAATAAAGTCTCAAGCCACTGACGAATTCAAAGACGAAAGAAGGGAATATAGATCATGACATAGGAAGTTATGGATATTTCAACTGATAGACTTGTGGAACAAACCAATATCAAGCAAAGATTGGAAAATTACGCTACAATTCGAATATAAGTATACTCTGTTGTTGATAGGTGTGTGTGTTCACCCTCCAAATCGAAATTCAAATTAGTTCTAAAATCGCGTCCAAAAATCATGTCGGTTGGGAGGTTCAAAAAGGTCAGGTGTGTCAATTTAACCGTAGTTTACCGACACATCTGTCGCCTGCGCGTTACGCCCCAATCAAATATTCATTGCCTAAAACAAAAAAGGATATCGTGCCATATGGCACAAAAGTTTTTATATCTGCTGGCATCAATCTAGACTGTATGTATATACGGTATTCAAAAATTTTAATCCTTCCCTGGTCAAAACATGCTATTAAAAATTCATATCAGTGTTTAATCCCTATAGATCCCTCAAAAGGCCAATCTAGAGTTACATCTCAATTTCAAATGGAGTGAAATAAGCCCTTTTCTATTTGCGTCCGTGCGCGAACAGTTAAGGGGTTTTATTTAACCCCCTGAGTTTAAGTTTTTTTCACACACAACACATTATTTATTTTGTCAGTGGCGGACCTAAAAGTCAATTTGAAGAAACGCGTATCGTCAAAATTGTTTGCAGCAGCTGATCGGCCGCGATTAATCGGATTTGCTTTTTGTAAGACCGCGCGGGGGGTTGTAAAAACAACCCCCGTAACACATTCTTACCCCTTTTTAGCCCCGGTAATGGTTTTGGCCGAACGTACATGTGTACATGGGCGTGTGCGAAAAATTGCCCGCGATTTTATGGGTTAAAGCGACAATAATAGAAAGACTTTTTTTTGGGTTTAATTTTTAGGGTGAAAATTTATGACTAACGCTCTGATTTTGTTCATGGCAATTTAATTGTACCGGAAGAGTTTGACCGTATCCGGCATGTGCCGTTTTGACTCCACTTGACACGATAATGAGGAGCAATTGATTCGTGCCGAGCGTAATTTTGATTACGATAAAACAGGATGTGATTGCATAGAGGGGTGATCACAACCAACACACGCTTTCTTACCAGTTTCTCTGTCAGATCTATCATCGATTGTTGTCGAGTCAGCAAACAAATCTTGTAAGTTTAGTGGTTCTTTGGGTGCTAAGGTAAGTTCGTCTCCAGCTGATACTTCTATAGTTGTTTCATACCAAATCTTTAAAATAATTATTATGTATTATTTTTTCCAATGTTTGATGAATTAATGCTTACTTGTCCGCTAATTAAAAAATGTCTCATATTTGCAGCATCTTTGGTTGGAGTGCTCCTGATGAGTTTGATCCAGTTCTGGTGGTCCGAAGAACCATCTAACCATCCTCGTACTCCCGTACCAGCCACAATCTGAAACAAAGATTGATTTTTTAGAAAAAATAATCCGTTACATAAAACCGCAATCATTTATTAAGCTAATTATTCAGAAACCTGAAACTGAGTTAATTTTTTTTTGTCTCTAGACAAGGTCGAACGGAAACTCACACCTTTTGTGGTAAAAATTTGTTTTACGTAAACTTAGATTAAAAGTGATTATTAATGAGGCAACCTACCTCAATAAGCCAAAACTTAATTGGTCGGTATAAAACGTTTTATCGGTTATTAAGTCGGTTAATAAATACGTGCGGTTTATGGTTAAGACACTGTACTTATTCAACAACTTTGAGTTTTTCCGATAAAAAAATCATGGAAGATCTAATGGCTTCCTAATATTCCACGCTCCATCAAAAATATGCTGAAAAATGCGCTCAAGCATATCATCAAAACATAAAAATCGAATTTAAAAGGCGGCTTTCAGAAGTTTGTCAATTCTATAACGTCATGCTCCGAAAGACTCCCCCTTTCAATAGGCTTTTAAAGTCTTTTTTTTTATTTTCGTGAAGGAGCAAATTAGTTTGAAAAGACGCGTGCCATAATCTTTTCATTATGCTATTGCCCACGATAATTTGATAACGCATTGCAACGAATAAATCTCGACTGTCGACATTCTTGTAAAACAAACCCGCCCACCGTTGGCAAAGAATTAAAATGCATGAGCGTAATTTTTAACGGATAATTGTTGAAAGTAATCAAACCAATCCCACATTTGAATGACCGTGGGTCTTGGCAGACTCTATTATCTACGTCTAGAAGGATTTCAAAGGAAAAATGCATTTATTATAGAAAGACGAGAATGGCGAGATTAATCCAAAATAACTGAAGACGCTTGCAAGTAAGTCAACTCCTGTTTGTTGTTTGACAACCAAGCCAAACCAACCTTGAGATGAGTGATTTCTGATACTATGTACTCCTACCTGGTTCTCGATTTTCAGTGTTTTCCTTTTTTTTTGAAATTACGAGGTCAACATCATTTCCTTTGAATCTTAGTTTGTCAATTTTGCAAACATTGCTTCTCAGGTAAAGTTTAGTACTTTAGGATTCGTTGAAGCTCGTACAATTCATTTCTGCATCAACCACTAAGAGAGGTTCTTCGGCACATCAAGTTGTGGACCTTTGCACCAGCCTATAGTTTCCAGGAAAATGCAAGGAAGTTTTCATTGATGGAGGAGCAAGATTAGGAATAGATGAAGAACTACACAATTCCCCTATTCGTTTGTAAAAATGATAATAACAGCAAGTTTTGTTAGACGAACGAGATTTGACCAATTTTGTATGGAAAAATATATTTTTTATGTCAGTGATGTTATCAGGAAGAAAACATGAAGAAAAAGCGAGTGTTGAGTCCTTGGTAGTACCTACCTCCTGTAATTTATTATTCGCTAGAAAGGTAATTATGAAGGTGTTTGGAAACTAACCCAAACCAACCTTGCGATGAGTCACTTCTGATTCTATGTCCTCCTACCTGGTTCTCGATTTTATCCAACTGTTTTTCTTTTTTTTTTTGGAAAAGACGAGGTCAACATCATTCCCTTTCAATCTTAGTTTGTCAATTTGGCAGACATTCTTTGTCAGGTAAAGTTTGGTACTTAAGGATCCGTTGAAGCTCGCTCAATTTATTTCTGCATCAACCACTAAGAGCAGAGCTTCTTCATCATAGCAAGTTGTGGACCTTTGCACCAGCCTATGGTTTCCAGGAAAATGCAAGAAAGTTTTCATTGATGGAGGAGCAAGCTTACAAGAAGGAATGGATGAAGAACTACACAATTCCCCTATTCGTTTGTGAAAATGATAATAGCAGAAAGTTTTGTTAGACAAACGAGATTTGACCAATTTTTGTCTAGAAAAATATTTTTTATGCCGGTGATTTCATCAGGAAGAAAACATGGAGAAAAAGCGAGTGTTGAGTTCTTGGTAGTACCTACCTCCTGTAATTCATTATTTGCTATAAAGGTAATTATAAAAGTGTTTGGAAACTAACCCAAACCAACCTTGAGATGAGTGACTGCTGATTCTATGTCCTCCTACCTGGTTCTCGATCCAAGACTTTTTCTTTTTTTTTGGAAAACTCGAGGTCAACATCATTCCCTTTAAATCTAAGTTTGTCAATTTGGCAAACATTCTTTCTCAGGTAAAGTTTGGTACTTTAGCATCCGTTGAAGCTCGTTCAATTCATTTCTGCATCAACCACTAAGAGAGCTTCTACATCACATCAAGTTGTGGACTTTTGCATTAGCCTATAGTTTCCAAGATAATGCAAGGAAGTTTTCATTGATGGAGGAGCAAGATTACAAGAAGGAATGGATGAAGAACTACACAATTCCCCTATTCGTTTGTAGAAATGATAAGAAGTGAAAGTTTTGTTAGACGAAGGAGATTTGACCAATTTTGTATAGAAAAATATGTTTTTTATGCCGGTAACGTCATCAGGAGAAAAAAATGGAGAAAAAACGAGGGTTGAGTCCTTGGTAGTACCTACCTCCTATAATTTATTATTCGCTAGAAAGGTAATTATAAAGGTGTTTGGAAACTAACCCAAACCAACCTTGAGATGAGTGACATCTGATTTTATGTCCTCCTACCTGGTTCTCGATTTTGTGTATGATTTCCTTTTTTTTTTGGAAAACTCGAGGTCAACATCATTTCCTTTGAATCTTAGTTTGTAAATTTTGCAAAAATTGCTTCTCAGGTAAAATTTGGTACTTAAGGATCCCTTGGAGCACATTCAATTCATTTCTGCATCAACCACTAAGAAAGCTTTTTCATCACATCAAGTTGTGGATCTTTGCACCAGCTTATAGTTTCCAGGATGATGCAAGGAAGTTTTTATTGAGGTAGGAGCAAGTTTACAAGAAGGAATGGACGAAGAACTACAAAATTCAACTATTTGTTTGTAAAAATGATAATAGCAGAAAGTTTTGTTAGACGAACGAGATTTGACCAATTTAGTATAGAAGAATATATTTTTCATGCCGGTGATGTCATCAGAAAGAAAAAATGGAGAAAAAGCGAGTGTTGAGTCCTTGGTAGTAGCTACCTAATGTAATTTATTATTCGCTAGAAAGGTAATTATGAAGGTGTTTGGAAACTAACCCAAACCAACCTTAAGATGAGTGACTTCTGATTTTACGTCCTCCTTCCTAGTTCTCGATTTTATCCAAGTGTTTTTCTTGGAAATTACGAGGTCAACATCATTCCCCATGAATCTTAGTTTTTCAATTTTGTAAACATTGCTTCTCAGGTAAAGTTTGGTACTTTAGGATCCGTTGAAGCTCGTTCAATTCATTTCTGCATCAACCACTTAGAGACCTTCTTCATCACATCAAGTTGTGGACCTTTGCACCAGCTTATAGTTTCCAGGATAATGCAAGGAAGTTTTCATTGATGGAGGAGCAAGATTACCAGAAGGAATGGATGAAGAACGAGATTTGTCCAATTTTGTATAAAAAAGAAATACACCGAAAAAGATATCTTTTATGTCGGTGATGTCATCAGGAAGAAAATATGAAGAAAAATCGAGAGTTGTATCCTTGGTAGTACCTACCTCCTGTTATTTATCATTTGCTAGAAAGGTAATTATATTCGAGAAAGGACAGGTGTAAAATAGTCAACTAAATCCCACGCTCCAATAGCATATTATTCGAAAAGTCTTTTATTACCTACTTTGGAAATTTATTATAAATTCAAATTGGAAGCTCATTAGGGCAAATTGAAAGTTGATAATAATTTGTAACTAATGAATTTATATTCATTTATCCTTCATTTATATCGTTATATTATTCGTCTAGCTCATAGTATTATTATTATACAGGATGTCACAACACAAACAGAAAATTTTTAGCAAAGTGGATCTTGTGGCCCAGAAACATTATAATTTAAGAATTGATTTCTCAATAATTCTCGAGTAGACTTCCTTGGTTTTTCTCCAAATTAGTTTACATGTCAGATACACATCAGAATATCAAGTTTGTTATGAAAAAGATCAAGTAGTAGCACGAAGGTTATTGTGTGATTTTGATGAAATAAATGTTTGTTCCATAAATCAAGATTCTATGAAAGATTTTTCTTTAGAAGATTTAGAAAATGTTTTCAGGACTGACATTGATACACAGGCACAAAAATGCAACATCTTTCTTTGCTTAATAAATACAGAGACTGTTTTGCTACAAGTATGTCTGAACTAGGGAGGACTCATATTGCTGAAATTTGCATTGATTTGAATGACAAAACACCTGTTACTTATTGACCATATCGTTTAGCCTTCGCTGAGCGAGATTGGTGCGCAAAAAGAACGGCGAATCGCGTATGTGTGTAGATTATCGTTCTTTGAACGCTAAAACTATTAAGAATAAATATCCTCTGCCATGCATTGATGATTTACTGGATAAGCTCAAAGGTGCTCGATACTTTACTAGTTTATATCTTGCTTCTGAATACCATCAGGTGCCAGTTGCCTCGAATTCTATCGAAAAGACAGCTTTCATAACCCCCGATGGTCGTTACGAGTATGTAAGTATGCCATTTGGTCTCGTAAAAGCTCCTGCAGTCTTTCAGAGGGTAATTCATAAAATTCTAGGTTCTTTACGTTAAACTACAGCTATGGCGTACGACTCGACGACTGACAAAAAAAATGGATTCACAAATTTGGGAAACGTTCTAAACCTGGATCCGAAAGGAACAATACTTTTTCTATGAATCACTAGATTCAGAGGAGATGTACCTACTCTTCTTAAATGTTTCCAGATGCTCAAAACTGGTAATTTTCTCTCTTAGTTCAATGTGCTGTGTTTTCAAATTTTTTTTCCAGTTATCAGCTTGACTATATTTGCAACAGTGGTTGTGCTAGCAAGGTTTACTTAAAACTTGTTTTTGCTGCCAAATTTTGAGACTGAACTTACCATCAGGATGATATTATTTTTTTTCATGTGACTTTTTAAATTGGTTTAACATTGCAACAAGTATGCCATTTGGTC